GTGTTGAACTACCTGCTGGCGCTGTTACTGGCTTTTTGTTTCCTCCTCTATTTCCTTTTTTATTCCCAGGTGAAGCAGGAATAAAAATAGGTGCTGTAGGATTCAAAGTTCCAGGTTCCTTTGTGTGTACACTTGTATTTTGAACCACCTGCTCTTCTACCAAGGCCAATTGTTTGTTTGCATTGTCTTCACTTGTTTCAACTTCTAGTACTGCAAACTTATTGTTTGTCTGCATCTGCTGAGGCATCATGGAGACTTGATTATCCACTGGTATTACTTCCTTCCCAGTTTTTGTTCCTTCCCCATTCTGCTTATCTTTAGCTTGATTTCTTTTATCCTTCACCTCTTTCCACTGAGCTCCAACATTACCAACAACCTTCCCACTTGATAGAATCATCAAAGGGTTGTTATTCTTACTCTTCTCCTTATCTACACCAGGCTGCTTTTCCTCATTCCTATTTACCATAAGCTCAGGATGCACCCTCCAGCATTCCAACAGATCATGCCCTTGTAACTTGCATTCTTTGCAGTATTTAGGAAGATAGTCATATTTGATATTCACCCATTCAGTTCTTATCTCTCCAGTGCTTTCATTAACAATATCCATCCTAACCTTGTTAGAGAGATCAGCTAGTAAGTCAACTAACACTTTCACACGTGCACAACTTGGTCTAGTCTTGTTCAGTGTAGCTTGGTCAAGATGTAATGGTTTACCAACAGCAGAAGCTAATGAAAAAAGGCATTCCTTAACAAAATATGTTGGCAGCAGATTAGGAAAAGAAATCCATGCCATAACTTTTGGTGTCTCCTCTCCAACCTTGAATTTAGCATCATATATCAATGTTCTAAATTGATATTCATCTCCAAACTTGTCCTTAACATAATGTACTCCCTTTGATGGAAATTCAATGAAGTCCTGCCACAATGTTAGTCTGACTAAGATATGCCTATCTCGTAAATACCCAATTGTGCACTCACCCTTGATACCACATTGAATAGGAAGGATACGACGTAATTCATTAAGCTCCGGCCAACCATATGAGAATTTGCAGACCACTGCATACTGCAAACCTTCGATCGCGTTCATGCGTTCCACTTCTGCTTCAGTAAAACAAACCAATGGTTGTCGTTGATGCAATGTAGCTCTTCTAAGCGCAATTGGTTCAATAACTACTGCTCGATCATGCATGGCAGCGTTGTTTGACGTAGGTTTTACTGCTTTAGCGTAGTTCATGGGCGCTGGGTTATCGCTAGATTTAGGGTTTAGGGTTTTTTTTTTTTGCAAAATCCACTAAATTTCTGGGTTTTTTTTTTTTTAAGCAATCCACTAGGCATAGCCTAGGGCTAGTTTTTATTTATAAATATAACAAAACAAGCACAGTGTCATGAAATCCTAACGGATGTACGAAAAGGAAATATAATTCTACATAGGACTTATTATCAAAATTGAGCATTATACTCAAAATTGATATCACAAAAATTCTACACAAACTTGCATCAAAACTAGTCCAAGCAAAAGCCCATTTTTGTACTCTTTTATGATCCGCATATGCTGGCCCAAAATGACCCATATCAGTCCCGTTGGAATTCGTAACTGATTTGCAAAAATAGCCACTGTTTACTGTAATGTCTCCAATCCCCTCAAATTGCAAAATTAGCCACTTTAATCTCATAATGCCCTTTGCTTAAAAACCCAGTCCAGCAATGCTGTCCGTTTGTCAGGACAGTCCAATTTCCTATGTAGGCCCAATATCCAGCCCAGTCCATTACCAACTTGCATAAGTTGCCAACAATTAGCCCAGCTTCCCTTTCCTTGTATTTGCAAATATAGCCTCTTCACTATCAGCTTTCCTAATGTACGTGTGTATCCCACTATACACCTCTTTATTACACAAAACTTCCCATCTGTATGTCTTTGTCCGTTCATTTCCACCATTAGCCGACCTAGGTAATATCGACTTCCTCTCTCTTCCTTCTCTCTTCTGTCTTCTTCATTTTTGTTCAAATCAACTCGACTAACTCCATTTCTTATTTGAATATGCTTGAATGTACCTGGATCATTGTGCATCGTTTTGGAGAAACGAAGATGGACCTGACGACACTCCTGTTTAGCTGCAGTTGCTCTGAAGACTCTATGTTGCCAAGCTTCAGTGACACCGTCGACCACACCCTGTTGTACCTCAGCGGAATTGCCTGTGAGAACTTCACTCGAGTTTGTACTCTCCCCTCCCCGATAGATTGATGTAATAGAAAAACCTGGATGTATTTCCTTTCTGTATCCCTTTTCCTTCTCTATTTCCTTATCCTTTTGCATCATCCAGTTAAAATCACTATCATTGATGATTTTACTGTCTGCAAACTGTGTAAATAAAAGCCCCAAAATCTGTGCATTCTTGTTCTCTATGTTTGACAGTATTGTCATGTTTGTACAAAAATAGAATCCTGCAAGCTTGTATGATATCTTGCAACTGATCTTCTTTGCAACCCCTCTATACTCTAGTTTTAATTTAACTCCGGTGGATTGAGTACATAGTACTAATACCACCACCTGGAGCTTCCTTAAACCAAAGAGTATAGATATGATTGCTATAACTGTGACAAACCACATATATGCTTGCTTTACTTATGCTGTAGTTGTTGTTGATTGATTATCTTGTACTGTATCTTCCCTTGCCTTCCTCCCCTTGGATTGAGTACAAAGTACTAATACCACCAAGTAAGATTTGTTCAAGGGAAAGACCTGGAAACACAGATGCATCATCCAGCTGAGTTCTCTTAGAATGAAAATTCTGCTGTCTGCATTCTGTGTACAAATATGACCACATGTGTTTGCTTGTTTTTCTTTTATGTGCCTTGATATTGATTTTCTTATGTGCCTTTGATGTCCTGCTACCACCTGTACTATTATGTATTTCCTATTGTCCATGAAACTCCTAGCTACTATGCTAAACTCTAATTTTAATTCTTCCCCGATGGATTGAGTACCAAGTACTAATACCACCACCTGAGGTTTCCTTAAAATATAAAGTCTAGATAGTATGATTGTACCTGCAAAAAAGAACACATCATTAGCAAAAAATTGATCCTTCATGTTCTCCCCTAAACAGGTTTGAACATGAAAAATCACATCTATAGATCCTGCATCCTCAAACACCCCAGTGTGTCCTCCTCCTACTAATTCTTGGAAACTTTGACCCTCAAGTATGGACATTGTAGCTTGTCCTCATTTACTATCCTCCTCCCTTATGAATCCAACTCCCAAAAGTCATGGCATTCAATGTTCCCATAGTCCAGTGCAAAGTTTGCCAAATGATCTGCTAATTTGTTTCCTTCTCTAAAAATATGGGATATCCTGATACTGCAACCTTCCATTAGCTCCTTTATCTCCTCCATCAAGTCCACAATAGTCCAAGGGGGTTTCCATGCTTTCTCTATAATGCTTTTCATCAACATGGAGTCAGTTTGCAACCAAACTTGAGAGTAGTTTTTATCTCTGCATATCCTTAAAGCCTCCAGGATTGCTACAGCTTCAGCTTCATTATTTGATCCTTCAGCAATTTCCTTTTCCATTGCATATTTTACCTCTCCAGCCTCATCTCTACAGCAAACACCAATAGCACTCCTGCCTGGGTTCCCTCTTGATGCCCCATCTGTGTTAACTTTGATCCAACCCTATTGAGGAAATTCCCATATCACTTTGTAATATTTGAGCC